CGCAGCAAGGCCCCCACCCCCGACCCCCCTCACCCGCCTCCCCGGGATGGGGAGACACCTGCCTCGCCTGCACACCCGTGCCCCCACTGGGCTCTCGGGGAGGTGGGGCCCGTGTCCTCTGGGCAGAGACCCGCCAACAGAAGCAGCCTGTCTGGCAGGGAACCCACAGGCTACAGGGAGGTCCTGGCTCAGCCTGGACAGCGTGGGCGGCTCCGGGGCTGAAGGCACAGGCCCTGGGACAGGGCATGACCTTGGCAGGAGGCAGTCCTGCCCCCAGTCCTCACTCTGAGGCAGCTAGTCTGTCTCTGGGAGCCAGGACTCGGCTTCTAAACCTCGTGCCCTCTGCTCCCACCGCATTTCTAATGACAAGAAGGGATGTGGCGGCCAGGGCCCCACGCGGGCCTGCAGGACACGTCACGAGGGGACGAGAACGCCCTGGGCTGGGTCAAGGCACCGCCCTGCCTCCCTCTGGCAGAGGCCCCCCAGGGTGTGGCCTGGACTCACCATGTCCGCTCTCTGCTTCTGGTTGCCCAGCTCCTCCAGCGCTTGTGACAGCTGAGCCTTCGAGACAAGACAGAAAGCGCGGTTAGTCGGCCCCCGTCTCTGCCACCCCACGCAGACGAGCCGGGAAGAGCTGGCGCCTGGGGAGGGAGGGGAACCAAGGGCAGCTGGGAGCCTGTGCTGGAGCAGCTGCAAGGCATCGTGGGGAGACAAGGTGGGTCGTGTCCTGGGGGCAGGAGAGCATTCGCTCCTTGGTTCCGGAGGAGGAGGGGCCAACATCCAGGAAAGCCCTGATGCCCCGCCCACTGCCACCAGCAGGACTTGGGGACCAGGCGAAGGACCCCCCACCCCGGTGCACAGACATGGAAAGCTCCCTCCCTCGGCCCCCAGACGCTCAGAGGCCACGCTGGGCACTCAGGGGCTGACTGGCTGGGGCTCAGCGCAGCCCTCAGCAGCAGGGGTGACATTGTGACCACAGCCGCAGCAGCTGGGACCGGGGAGGACCCGGCAGGTGTGCGTGCACGAGCCTGCGGGGTGTGCGGTGTGCCCTGACGTCTGAGAGCCTCACTGGACACCCGAGACCGAGGCCCGAGTCTGCATCCTCACATGTGACCTCAAAGGACCGGACGGGGCTCGGCTGGGGGTGGGGGGCAGGAGTTGTAGCTGTCACCGCCCACCACCCCCCAGCATTGATTCGGATGGCCACCCACGGACGAGAATAGAAAAGATCAGTGAACGAAGCTGGTTTTCAAAAAGATAAACAAAACTGACCAACCGTGATCTAGGTGAGCTGAGGAAAAAGGAGGGAGACACAGATAAATAAAATGAGAAACGAAAGAGGAGAAACACAGACGCTATGAACAGTCACACCAACGACTGGAGCCCCGGAGGAGCCGGGCAAACTCCCAGAAGCACACGCCTGCCCAGGCGGGCCGCGGTGACATGGGAATCTGAACAGATGACCGCTAGCGAGGAGGTTGAGTCAGAAAGAAAACCCGTCCCCACCAAGCAAGGCCCAGGACCGGGCGGCGTCTCCAGTGAGTCCTACCAAACCTTCACAGGAGCCGACAGCGATCCTGACACTCGCCCAGAACCAAACAAGGGGACACGGCCCCATCCACGTGCGAGGCAGCCCTCCCAGACGGCCAAGGCAGACAAGGACGCCCCGAGAAAGGAAAACCACAGGCCCAAGCCCCTGGTAAACACCCATGCGAAATCCTCAACAAACATTAGCAAACGGACCCAGCGATAAGGGCGCAGACACCACAGCCCGCGGGGTTATTCCGGGGACGGTTCAATGCCCACGAATCAACCCGGTTCAATTCCCGGTCAGGGCACATGCCCAGGTTGTGGGTTTGGTCCCCAGTTGAGGGCGTGCAGGAGGCAGCCAGCCAATCAATGATTCTCTCATCATTGATGTCTCTCTCTCTCTCTCTCTCTCACTCCCTTCCCCTCTGAAATTAATAAAATTATATTTTAAAAGTTAAGTTAAATTAAATAAATTAATGGAAGAATGTCCTCGGGTGAGGGTTAACAAAAGAAATAAACAAACACAAACAAAACAAAACAAAACTCTAATGACAATTATGACAGAAATAGAAAAAAAATAATTCTTAAATTCTTATAGAACCACAAAAGACCCCTAAGAGTCAAAGTAATCCTGAGAAAGAAGAACAAAGCTGGAGGCATCACACTTCCTAACTTCAAGTTCTTTGCAAAGCTATGATCGTCAAAACAGTGTGATGCTGGCATAAAACAGACGCACTGGTCAAGCGGACAAGAGACAAGCAATAACCCCCCCACGCAGTCCACCCCTGGCAAGGAGCCAAAGACACGCCCGGGAAGGACGTCTCCCGGTCAGAGGTGCCGACTGTACAAACATCGACCCGAGTGAAGACAGAAACCATAGGCTCTCAGGAGAAACGCGGGCAAAGCCCCTGACCTGCATCTGGTCACAGACTCTCGTACAGGACACCAAGCGCACAGGCAACAAAAGCAAAAATAAACAAGTGGGACCACAGGCAACTGCAACACTCCTGCACAGCAGAGCCGCCGCCGCAGAGCGAAAGGCCGGGGGAAGTAGCCGCACGCCGTCTCCTCGATGGGCCGTGCCCTGTGGTTATTAAAGGAGCTCCTACAACTCAGCAGAGCAGATGCCCAACGTCCCCAAGAACACACGCAGGCCTGGGACCTGGGAGACGCTCAGCATGGCCACCGCGCGACGCTCGTCACAGGGAGGCGCTCAGCACGGCCATCACAGGGAGGCCAGGAGCACGGCCACCGAGGAGAAGGCCTAGGCCACAGGTGCCAGCGGGGGCGCTGCAGGAGGAACGCAAACGGGGCAGCCGCGACGGGAACTAAAATTAGAACGAGAGCCATACGGCCCACGATCCCTCTCTGGGAATATGTCCAAAGAAAATAAAATCTGCATCTCGAAGAAAGAGCTGTGCCCTGCTCCCTGCAGCCTGACTCCCAGGAGCCACGACACGGCAGCGCCCACGATGTCCGCGGCCGGAAGCGGCGTGACCCCTGCACGGGAGGACGTCTGAGCCTTGGAGAAGCAGATGCCGCCGCTGGCGACAACGCGGCTGGACCGGGAGGGCGTGACGCTCGGAAACAGCTGACCAGAAAGAACCCACTCAGGACGTCACTGCTCTGCGAGCCGGAGACAGCCCAGACGCCGAGCCGCCCGGCGCAGAGGTGGGTGCGGAGCGAGGGGGGTGGGCAGTCGCACATTCCGGGGTGGGGGTGGGCGTGAGGAGGCCTCCCGGGCCCTCAGGTGCAGCAGGACAATGACAGTTCATTGCAGGATTGTATCTGGAAATCTGGCAAGAAAGCTCTTCAAGGTCCCCGTAAGGAGACAGGAACCAGGCGGGAGGTGGCTGTGAATTGGCCAGCGGGGTTCCCGTCTCGCTGGATGTGCACCTGTGCCCGTGTAGCACCCGGGACAGCCTCCATGCCCATGGTCCCACGAGTCACTCACGCCCGTGGAGCGGGTCCCTGGTCTCTGCCAGCATCACCACCCGGCCTGCAGGAGCACCGTGCGCCCTCTGGGAAGCCGGGAGAACTGAACAAGGAGCGCGTGAGACCTGGTTGCCGGCGGCTCACCCCCGGAGGCCACTGCCAAGCCCTCCCTCAGCCTCGCTCTGCCCAGGTCCCGGAGCGGCTGTGTCACTGGGTGCTGAGCATGGCCACCCGCCTGGGGCACAGAGAGCCCGCCCACGTCACACAGTGTGCCCGCACATGCCGGGGCCAGGGCCACTCCCTTCCTGTTCGCCCCGTTAGTACGCGGCTCCGTTTTAACTGACGGGACTTCCACTTTGCCCGATCGGTGCCCTCCCAGGAGAGCCACCGAGAGGGAACACCTGTAGGAGTGGCCAGGAAAAGGGCTCTGGCCCTGGTGGACGCCTTCGTGGGAGAGCGGAGGCCTCTGGGAGGAGACGCTGCTGTAAACGCTCGCAGGGCGGGACGTGGGCGACGATGTGCCCACTTTTCTCTAAGCTCCTTCCGATCGCTGCAGCCTGAAACCGGGCTCCCCCCAACCTCCCCGCAGCAGCGGCGCCGTCATCTGTTTTAATTAAATAAATTGGAAAAACAAGCCAGGCTGGGAAGTGACTCAGGCGGCGTGCGCTGCATAGTGATGGCGCCATCAGCACAGGAGGCTCGGGACGCCTGCGACCGCCAGGCAGCACTTTATTAAACGGAATAAATAAACCCGGGCACGCGGCACAGGCTTCAGAGGGGCCACTGGGATCGCCCGGCTCCGCCACTTCGCTTTACTCCAATGTTTCTGCCGAATCAAACCTGTTCCCGTTGGAACTGACTGACTAGGCCGAGCCGGCAGCTCAGCACCTGGAGGCCCTGATCATTGTAGAGCAGCGGTCCTCAGCCGTGGCTGCACATTAGATCACCTGGGAATCCTGTTAAAATCCTGATTTCTGGCCTCATCCTCCGGAAATTCTGTTTCTTTGTTACTCATGTTGTGGCCTCGCCCCTTAGGAAAGAAACAGAATTTCCGGAGGATGAGGCCCAGAAATCGGGATTTTAAAAGGATTCCCAGGTGATTCTCATGTGCAGCCACGGCTGAGAACCACTGCTGTAGAGGCTCTGCAAAGACCTCCCTCAGCCCGGCTCTGCCCTCCGGAGGCCGCATGTGGCTCCCGCGGTCCGAGGGTGGGTCGTGCAGCAGCCACGGGGGAGGCCGGCCTGGCCGTCCTGCGCCTCACCCAGCAGCAGGTCCCCTGGACACGGGGACAGGCTGTGCCCTCGATAGCCTGCACCAAGCCCAGCCCCCCGTTTTGTCAATGAGTCTGACTGGCCCACAGCCGGCTCCCAGGTGCAGCTGAGAGCTGAGTGGCCCGGCCCGAGCCCGTGGAGCCGCCCGGCCCACAGTACAGTGGGGCCTTGACTTATGAGTGTCCCGACTAATGAGTTTTTTGAGATACCAGCTGTGTCTCGGCCTATTTTTTGCATTGAGTTGATAGAGTAATTTGAGTTAACGAGCTCCTTAACGAGCTCGGTCTCAGAACGAAGTAAACTCGTAAGTCAAGGCCCCACTGTATTCCGTCTGGCCCCTCACGGGGGAAGCTGCTGGCCCTGCGTGAGAACAGGAGCCCAGGCCTGAGGGACGGTGGGAGAGGTCATGGGGGAGAGAGGGGCAGAGAAACGCGGTGAGAGAAGACAGAAAGGGCCAAAGCTACAGACAGGCAGACATGAACAGAGAACAGAGGAAATGAGGAAGGCGGGGAAGAAGACCACCAGGGAAGGAGAAAAGAAAAGGCGGAGGTGGGAGCTGCGAGAAAAGCTGGTGTCCCCACCTCCACTAGCACACCTGGAGTTCCCCCGGGGCCAGCGACAATCCCACCCTCGGAGGCCCTGGGCCCTGCCTTTCGGACAACGACATGCCAGGCGTGGGAGGGCGCCGTGGCGGCGGGTCTCCCTGCAGGCCCCCGCGCGAGTGCACAGATGTTCGCATGCGGGCACGAGTGACGGATGAGCTGCTGGAAGGCACTATGGCACCACTAGCAAATGAGTCTGTGCAGTTACATGACTTCACTTGTCAATACCCGATGCTCAGCTAACGGGCTGCTTGCAGCGCCGAGAGCGCTCAGCTCTCCGGGTGGGGGCCGGGCTCAGAGGCGGGCATGCAGCTCTGCCTACTGACCAGGAAGAGGACAGGCCCTCCTGGGGCCTGAAGGGCACCCACCCAGGGCTGCAGGGGCTGCAGTCCAGTGTGTGGCTGAGCGACCTGGGGGTGAGGACAAAGCCGGGGCACCTCCCAGCCTGTTCCTTCCTCGATGCTGCAGGGCTGGGCAGGACTGGGCGACCCATGTAAGGGTCCGTCTGCCCCAGGAGCTGCAGGCCCTCCAGGGTGCTCTGCCCACTAAGGGGCCCCGGGGAGCAGGAAGGCAGAGACCAGCCTGGTGATGGGGGCGGCGCCCAGGGCCTGGGGGGAAGGGTCAGGGTGGCCGCTGGAGCATGGCCGCCCCGCGACACTAGTGTTCCCGGCACAGCCTGCA